AGAGAGAGAGAGAGAGAGAGAGAGAGAGAACATTCTATCTTTCATAATGACTATTTGATTCTACAGAAGATACGGCACGGCGATAACGACTTAGTGCAATAACGAATTTCAACGTAGATGATATTCAGAGCGTCGTGGTATGACGTCATGGCGTCGGAATATCTCGTGGAAGTTTTTATTTCAGGTTTTTACTTAAGCTAGCCCTTCCCATCGCGCTGGATCCGAATCTACTAGACGGAACAGAAAAAAAGAGAAAGGAAAGAAAGGGAAAGATGAAAAAATGAAATGAGAGGAGAAAAAGAAAGGAAATACATCGCGCACCTCGTATTAGAGACACGTCAGCTTCCGGACGGAGCGGCGCGCGTGACAGAGTTGCAGACGCGAGCGAAAAGCTCACGCTTGAGGTAGATTGGGGGATTTCTGTAACCCGTACATATTACGTCTCCGCGGGGACGGCGAAATGCCCCACCGACCAGGGATGAACCGGTCGCGGCTGGTTCTCTTTGAGGTGAAAGTATATCCGGACACGTACCCGATCCCGGACATTTTTATTGCCTCAGTTTTTAAATATAAATATTTCAACTTTCAACATAAAATACATACGCCTATCTTGGATAGATACATGATACAGGCTGTTAAAAAAGAAGAAACTTACAAGATAGACAGTACTAATTCAGAGTAGACTGAATAAAAAATGCTTACTAAGTACAAGTAGACAAATTAATCCTATTAGAGTAACAAATGTTTCTCGTTTTAGATAATGCGAATTATTTGTGTGCTTTTGTATTGATTACGTGAGCGAGTATCTTGCCATATTATTACTTTATTGTTATATCGATACTTACAAAGGGAATGTTCCATATGTTCACAAATAGAAGAAACCGGGGCTATTTAGCCACCGGGATAAAAATTGCTACAAATATGGTATGGAGCTCCAGCTCAGTTCGTATTAATTGTCAAAGTGTATTTAAATAGGATATTCGCGTCGAGAGACAGATTGGACCAATCTAATTTGAATCCATCTGATTTGAATCCATTAGGTTTTATTATTAGGTTTTATTATTAGGTTATCTTATTATTAGGTTTTATTATTAGGTTTTATTATTAGGTCCATTAAATCTTTTTATGGGAATATATTGAAAACTTAATGTACTTTTCATTGAGAGAAATAATGCAGAAGAATTATATATCAGAGCACTAATACAAGATTGAACTGACTCGAAGAAGACCAGAAACTTTTCGAAAGAAGACGTGTAAACGCCTTTTGTAAACATCAAGATAACGATACTTGATTAGTAGAAGCACACAAATAAATTACGTTGCCAAAACTGAAAAGTGCTTGGAAAGATTTGATTTTCGATCTATATTTGCTAAACATTTCTTGCTTTTAGTGTAATGAGTACTATCTATTCTATAAGTTTTGAGCCCTTTTTTCGAGCACTCTGTATATTCTATGTCAAATGCGTGACAATCTCTCACCTCAAGTTCATTTTTACTCATAATTTTCAATTTTACTCAACATGTCCGCTACCAACGTCACATGTGTATGGCAACGGCATTTTTCCTTGTATAAAACACAGACCAAGTCTGTTTTACATAGTTGCACGATGAACAAATGTGACGTGGACTGTAGAGAAAATCTCGTGGTAGCGAACGTGTTTAAAGACCAGCCAGAATGTTCAGGATTAGGTACGTGTGCCCGGGAATTGGTACTTTTGCACTACTGGAGGCGCCGATAAGGCGAAACGGTAGCTGTGTATCGTGGCGCGATGTATGTACCAGGAGGTTCATGTCGAATCTGCGGAGCCTCCGCCAGTTCGGCCGCGCCAACAGCGCGGTGTGCTCCTTGCGCGATAAATGAGCCATAGCGTGTCTGACTCTCAGCGAGAGCATCTTATCGCGCCGGTCCTTTTTCATTCTCGTCCTGCCCTTCCTTCTCGTGGGTTCCCCAGCCGCAGTGTGATGACCAAGCGTTCCCAGTATGCTCAATTAAATTATACCGTCGTCGGGACGAGATTTTCCCGACACGCGAGGGAAAAAGCAACGTATTTCGGCGGCGGGGACAGGCGTAGCGACAATTAAGCGACACTCGTGAGCCAAGCTAACACGGTAATTTTGTCCGTCGCCACTTCGCGCGACACGCGAATCTTCCACGAGGAAATTTCCCTGCCATTCGGCCCGGCAAGACTGCCCGGGGACTGCGACGGAGATGTGGCGACAAAATACGAGCGAACTGAAGCAGCCTGAATTCGTCGCGCGCTGCAGCTTTCAGAGCTGTTTCAGGGCGTTCAGCGCGAATAATATTCCCGTATCATTTCAAGGGCGGGTCGTCCTCCAAGGTAAAAGTACCAATGCCTGGGCACGTGTTATGGAAATCTTTGGACTGGACTCCGATCGGAATTATTCCGTTACTCCCCAGACTCTCTATTGTCTTTTCTAGAGAAAACGGAATTCATTCCGATCGAAAAATCGATTCCATAATACGTGCTCCGGGCACTAATAATATTGGTGCCTCTAACTCTGCACAGAGAAAAATATCATTCTACTGCCAAGAAAAGCGATTACCTAGCTCACTTTTCTCCTTTTGTAAGTAATGGTTCTCTTCAACGAAGAATATTTTCTTGATGATGGTCTTAAAACATACTCAGGAGGGATTTTAGAGAAGCTCATTATCATGTACTCAAGAGAAAGAATTTCTTCTCTTTACAAGAATATTATAAAACTTTATCCATGAGAAAGGTTGATTCGATTCTATGCTATAAGCAAATCAAATTTTTGTTCTAATACTCTTGATTGAAATGCTACACTTAACAAGGTTCCGAACGAATAGATTTGATATGTGTGCTTATGATAGATTTGCGGATATATAAATTCTTATTAACATTTTTTAGACAAATAACAGTTATTTGAATATAATATTATTGAATGTAGTATTTTTATTAACATTTTTTAGACAAATAACAGTTATTTGAATATAATATTATTGAATGTAGTATTTTTCTGTGTGTGGGTATTCTTTTTTTTTATTAAAGCGTGACAATCCAAAAATAAAACAAGTAAAATAAAAACTAATAAAGTAAATAAAATAAAAAAATAGTTTTTTTAGTAAAATAAAAAAAAAAGTAAAAACTATGAAATCTTTTATTTAATTTATGGTTTCGTTAAATTAGTTTGAATATATTTCACTTTAAAGTTTAAATGTTTATATTTTTGGTTAGAAGCGTTTTTCAAAGAAACGTCCTAGATAAAGTTTATTTGTTTTTCCCGTATAATCCAAATATGTAATATTTTATAGAAGGTTTCATTTGAAATTACGAAATTACTCCCGCCTTCCTGAAAGACGAGTGGGAGTCAATTTTTGTTTACATAATTAGAAAGATCCTTCGAATAAATGAAACTTTCTCATCAACTTTTTCATACGACAAATACTTTTAGTTTTTGAGTTGTAACAATTTTTTAACGTAGACCATCCTGTAATTAATTAAAATGTATAAACGAATGAGTTCACAAGAAGCGGTAGGACAGACTCTGTGTGTAAAAGAAATGGCTTACCTCTTCGCAACGATGAGTAAACAGCTGATTTCGAGATGGAGTAACAAGCGACACGTATACGTTACTCCGCCTCGAAATCAGCTGTTTATTCATCGTTGCTAAGAGGTAAGCCATTTCTTTTACACACAGAGTCTGTCCTACCGCTTCTCGTGAGCTCATTCGTTTATACATTTTAATTAATTACGGGATAAATATTGAGAAAATTTCAAAATGGTATATAACTTTTATGATTATTTTGACCTGTTCTACCCATACACGGCGGTTGCTCGATTAGTTACCGGACACCCCGTATATTCTATACTGAAAGTTCAAATATTCGGATTCAAAAGGGCCCAAAACAATAAGTATGTCTAAAGTTAGATATAATATTGTATTATATTAGTGTCCTATACGCAAAAAAAAATTTCAGTTGGTCCAACCAAATAGGAACCAACTGAAAATTAGGTGATCAGAAGCGATATCTCTGTTATGAAAAGTAATATTTCTGTTGTCGCAACCGAAAATATTTGTCTGAACATTCAACGATATTAGAACTCGGTTGAGGCAACTGAAAACAATTGACTATACAGAAGCCTCATAAAGAAATTTTTCTGTTCCTACAGTCAAGTTTTTGTCTGGTCGCTGAGCAATCGAAAATTCGGTTGCACCAACAGAATTGTTTTTTCCGTGTGACATTGATACTTTTACCTTAAAAAAACAATGAGTCTTTTTATGAACGTTCTTCTTAAATCTCAGCGAGCATATTGCGAGCGAAATGTTGCGGTGTTAGACGGGACAAATGTGTACAAGCGTGCGCGACAAGAGCGTTCTAATTCCGGGGCGCTACGGCGCGACAGGATCCATGGCGTGAACGCCACGCGCATTTGCATACGCCGAATATTTGTCAAACTCTGAATCACGGGAGAAATAATCGTCGCGACACAAAATTTGTCTCGTTCGCAGAAGCAAGAGCGAGAGGAGAGAGAGAGAACACAGCTGCGCTCAGCTCCGTATGACGAATTAACTGGCGGTGCATCGGATCGGCAGGATTGACTTTCCAAAGCCCCTTGAAACGCACGGATATCCGCGGAGAAAATACGTGCCACGCGCGCAATCGAGCGCGAAAGTATCCTCTCCCGTCCTCTTTCTGTCTCGTGTTCCGCTTAAAATGCATACGGCGAGATTGAAAATAAAGCGGTCGACCGCGCATATCGTTTATGCATTTTTAATGCGCGACGGAATGAGCCGAGTGTCGCGCAAAGGATAGACTACGAAGGACGAGGGACAGATGTAATTTAGCGGGCCGGGTCGCGAGGTCTCGACGTAACGCGGATAAAAGTTCGTCCAATGAAGAGATCTCTTAAGAGACCTGTTGGTTTTATTTCCTTTTCCCCGAGTCGCCCGCGAGCTCTCGCAGGCCCCTCCAGGGCTCTCTCACCCCGCTGTCTGTCTCTTTCACTTGCCTCCCCGTTCCGTCGCGCGCGTGTTCTGTTCTCTTTCCTCCCCTTTCGCACTTTCGCCTCTGCACCGTCGTCGTCGTCGTTCCCCGTACCCATGTACGACCTGCTTGGCTGGTCTCGCGTCGTTCCGCTGCCCTTCCTTCCTTCCTTCCTGCCGTCCTTCCTGCCTCCCCGTCCCGAAACTGACCTCTCTCTCTCAACCCTCTCGACTACTCACCCTCTCTTTCTGTCAACCCCGCATGGGAAATCTCAAATACGAGTCTGTTTACCTGGCACTTGAAATCCCGGCGGATATCGATGATAAGATTTCACCCCCATCGCCTTGCCGTCGGTCCGACGCGCCGTGTTTCGCCTCTCCTGTCCCCCTCCCTGCCCTGCCCGGCCGCTACAATTCTCTCTCACCGTACAGATTATGCAATTTATATCGCGCGCGTTAACTACCTTTGCGGTGCGACGACCATTGCGAGCGCAATAATGCGGATAGCTCGCCGTATCGGAGCCGCCGCAACTCCCTGGGAAATACCACCGCCTCGAGAGCGTACCGCGCGGATTTGTCGGGAACGCTCGAGTCTTTCGAGCCTGCCGACTCGTAAATAGATTTCTCCGTCGTTCCCGTTAAGCTGACGGGCGCCGTTAAATCGACAACGATGACGCTGGTTTTCAGGAACATTGACAGTCGCGATTCACGGATCGTGACACAGCAGCTCTGAGCGTCCCTTCAGCGACTTTCATGAGTCTCCGATATAAAAATCGCAGGAATAAAAGAAATAAATAAGAGGCACATATTTTTGCGAATGCCCCACGTCGTATGTTCAGGATATGAGACGGTCTCTCGAGGCTGATTCCATGTTTCATGGTGAGCAAGTATTATTTAAAAAGGCAGATATTTTTTAAGAGATATGCGTGAGAAGATGTCTTGCAAAAAAATTTTGTGCTGCACGTTGCAACTGTGCGTTTAGATTTTTGGAAAATTTCGTGTTTTCAGCATACTTTCCACCTATTATTATTTACATAAATTTAAAAACTTTATAAAAATTGAAGAGAGAATTTTATATGATTATCCTGAGATCGCGTCTTTGGTGTGCGAGTTTTAAGCGCCGCGTTTTTTAAATAGTCGAGACACACCGCGAGTCAGACGGCGGTGAGTGTGCTCTAACCGTCTAACCGCGGGCGTTTTGCAGCTATTTAACGGTGTTTACTACACAGAGAGAATTTTATAATGGAAATTAACATAAGAGGGTCTCAATTTTTCAGCGTAAGAATGACCATAGGACTTTGTAACCGAAAAATAGATTTATATTCTACAGTAATTCATTTTATTCTTTCATTTCAAATGTGCTACTTATATTTTAGGAATTGAAATGTTGAAAACGCTTGCTATATTTCCAGCAAAAAACCTATCACGTTTCTACTGAAATTTACTATGTCCTTCAGTAAGATAGACCATACTGACAGTCTATTTCTGGACTACTAAAAACAATAAAATTGAAAAAAATTTATACGAAAAAAGAAAACTATAATATATTCCTTCCGTGTAATTATGCTTCAGAAATGCGATCTGAGAAAGTAATTTTATTGTGTGTACACATAAATAAATTTGAGGGAATTTTATTATGTGCGCATATAAATAAATTTGAAATTTCCCTCAATTCTTTGCTTTACAAAAAAATCTTAGAATTCATATATATAATAATGACATATTAATAATAATATTATGATGATGAAAAAAATTTTTATATCTAAATACTGAATTATAAAATATGTAAAATACCATAAAATTTTTGTTTGAAACATTTTTTCACACAAAGCTCGCAATTAAAAAGATGTTCCGTCATAATTATAATTGTCGAATACATAAAATTTGTTTCGTGCGCGGGAAAAGGATATGGTAGAAAAAGACATGATCAGAAATATTTAGTTGTGAGCAGCGTTAGTTAGTTGTATCTTTTTAATTACTTTGTGTGATAGTAGTGTGTATGTGGTCGATATGATTCGGTTATTTGGCTACATCAGCTACATCAATGTAGTTGCACATGATCTGGTTGTGGCAAACAGAAATCGGTTGGGATGAGATTTACCATGAATACAGTTTGGTTGGAGTAACCAGATATCGTCACTGTAACTCAGCAATTGCTCTGTGGTTGCAGGAACCACGTAATTAGCCGTCCCCTATTTTACTAGTGAGTCTAGTTGGCA